AAAAAAAAAAAAAAAAGAAAGAAAAGAAATAGGCTGGACACAATGGCTCATGCCTATAATCCCAGTGTTTTGGGAGGCTGAGGCAGAGGACTGCCTAAGGCTGGGAATTAAGGACCAGCCTGGGAAACAGTGTCTCTACAAAAAAAAAAAAATAATAACACAAGCTGTTGACTGTATAGCCACAGTTTTTTATTTGTTTGTTTGAGTTGCAGTCTCATTCTGTCGCCCAGGCTAGAGTGCAGTGGCACGCTCGTGGCCACCCCAGAGTTTACCTGCTGGGCAACGACAACCCTTCTGCCTCAGGCTTCCAAGTAGCCAAACCATAGGTGCGTGCTACCACACCAGGCTAATTTTTTATTTACTGTAGAGACGAGGTCTCACCAAGCTGCTCAGGCTGGTCTCGAACCTGTGGGGTCAGGCACAGCCTCCCAAAGTGCTGGGATTATAGGCTGAGCCACCGAACCTGCTCAGTTTTTGTTTTTTTAAAGGAAGGTAAACAGAGGTTGTTTGTGTTAACTCAGCACCTGCCTGCACTGGTCTGTTTCCTGTCGCTTACAAGATGAAGACAGCCAGTATTCTTCACCAAGTATCGAGAGACAGGAAGGCCTTCTGCCTACCTCAGTTCTGACAAGGAACAGCAAAGCAACAGGTATGTGTGCTGAAAAGTTCAACACGGGGAGCACACCCACCTAGAGGGAGCCCGGGACAGACTGAGAGTGCCCCGCATGTCTCTGTGTTCAGAGGAAGCAGTTCTGCAACATCACATCCACAAGCCTCACCTAAGAAAGGCTCAGAAGCACACGGCAGACTGACACCCTGGCCGGCACAGTGCCCATGCTGACAGGGGCAGGGGTCAAAGGTGAGCAAGCACTTCCTGTGGATCCTGGAGGGTGAGGCTGTCAGCCAGTGTTGCAGCAGCCCCTGAGTTCCTCGGGAAACCTTCGCTGGATGAAGAGACTAGGGAGGAGTGTCCCTACAGCAGAAGTACTGTTTGGCACAGGCACACATGCTTCACCTGGAAGGTGACACCACTTGGCCAGGAGTCCTGTGCTGGGTAAGGTGAACTGGTCAGAGGGCCCACTCATGAGCTAGGCTGAAACCTCTTATGTCTCGAAAGCCAAAAGCAGTAGCTGACACCTTAGAAAGCACATCCTGTTCAAAGTCATGAGGAATTGTAAAAAATACAATACAATAAAATAAAAAATAACTGGGCACAGTGGCTTATGCCTGTAGTCTCAGCTACTGGGGAAGCTAAGGTAGGAGGATCACTTGAGCCTAGAAAGTAGAGGCTGCTGATGGGCTCGGTGGCTCAGCCTGTAACCCCGCAGTTTGGGAGGCCGAGGTGAGTGGATTGCCAGAGCCTGTGGGTTCGAGACCCGCTTGGGCAACTTGGCGAGACCTCATCTCTACAATAAATCAAAAAATTAGCCAGGCTTGGTAGTACACGCCTTTAGTTTCAGCTACTTGGAAGGCTGAGCTGGAAGGATCGCCGGAGCCCAGCAGGTTGAGGCTACAGTGGCAGGAAGCGTGCCCCTGCACTCCAGTCTGGGTGACAAAGTAAGACTCCAACTCAAAAAATGAAAAAAAAGAAAAGAAATTGGAGGCTGTAGGCTGGGCTTGGTGGCTCAGCCTGTAATCCCAGTGCTTTGGGAGGCCAAGGTGAGCAGATTGCCTGAGCCAGCGGGTTCGAGACCCATCTGGGCAACTCGGCGAGACCTCATCTCTACAATAAATCAAAAATTAGCCAGGCATGGTAGCGCGCGCCTGTAGTTCCAGCTACTTGGAAGGCTGAGCCAGAAGGATTGCCAGAGCCCAGCAGGCGAGGCTGCGGTGGCCGGGAGCGGCCACTGCACTCCAGTCTGAGCGACAGAGTGAGACTCCAACTCAAAAAAAAAAAAAAAGAAATTGGAGGCTGCAGTGAGCTATGATTGCACCATTTGCACTTCAGCCTGGATGATAGACCGAGACCCTGTCTCTACTATATAAAATATAAAATATATTTTATTTATTTATTTATTTTGAGTTGAAGTCTCACTCTGTTGCCCAGGTTGGAGTGCAGTGGCCCAGCCTCAACCAGCTGGGCTCAGGTGATTCTTCCACCTCAGCCTTCCAAGAAGCTGTGACTATAGGCACAAGATACCACACCTAGCTGATTTTTTTATTTATTGTAGGGACAAGGTCTCACCAATTTGCCCAGGCTGATCTCGAACCTCTGGGCTTAGGCAATCCTCTAGCCTAAGCCACCCAAAGTGCTGGAATTATGGAATTACAAGCTTGAGTCACTGTGCCCGGCCCCCAAAATACATACATACATATGTATGTTTTGAGTTGGAGTCTCACTCTGTCGCCCAGGCTGGAGTGTAGTGGCACATACGTGGCCACTCCAGTGTTGACCTGCTGGGCTCCAGTGATCCTTCTGCCTTATCCTTCCAAGTAGCTGGAACTACAGGTGTACGCTACCACTCCTGGCTAATTTAAAAAAAAATTTATTGTACAGGCGGGCTCAGCCTGTAATCCCGCACTTTGGGAGGCTAAGGTGAGTGAATCGCCTGAGCCCGTGGGTTTGAGACCCGCCTGGGCAACTTGGTGAGACCTCATCTCTACAATAAATCAAAAAATTAGCTGGGCATAGTAGCGCGTGCCTGTAGTTCCAGCTACTTGGAAGGCTGAGCGGAAGGATCACCAGAGCCTAGCAGGTTGAGGCTGCAGTGGCCGAGAACGTGCCACTGCACTGCAGTCTGGGCGACAGAGTGACCCCCCAACCCAAAAAAAAAAAAAAAAATTTATTGTAGAGATGATGTCTCACCAAGTTGCCTGGGCTGGTCTCAAACCTGAGGGCTCAAGCAATCCACTCGCCTCGACCTTCCAAAGTGCTGGGATTACAGGCTGAGCCACAGAGCCCAGCCAAAAATATATTTCAAAAGACACACACCCTGAATAACCCACCAGAGGTGGAGAAATCCTGGTGGAGGGGGCCTAACCACATCTACACCTTTGGCGAGATCACACCAAGCCCAGATCACTTTTCCAACAGCTGGTCCACACACTTTCTGGGGTTAATTTCTCCAAGTTCAGGTTCTAACACTCTTGAAATCTAAATTAAACCACCAGATCTTCCCCAGATATCAATGGTCTCAGATGCACCTTGTGGCATAACCATTGTGAGGAGTGCAGCCTGTGGAGGCTCCAGGGACACTAGTTACTGTGCACCACCCAACTGACACAAGAGCCCACCGTGCCTGCTAGAGCACCCAGCAGTCACAGTTGCTAGATTAACCCAGCAACCCCCAAATGTTGGACCTGGACTTTCTCAATTTCCTAAATGCCTGGTATGGCTGTCACCGATGTACACAGAAGGGAAAATTATAGAAATGATCCTCTTTCCATGGTGAGATCCAAGAGCAAAGTGTCTGATTCCCAAAGCTAATCCAAGCCCCACACCCTCTGGGATGTTTCCTCTGATCACTGGGCTGACTCTTGAGTCACAAGCCTTCAGGGCTGATGAGGCTATCATCAGTGCGCTTACTTCAGGAGCGCACCAGGGTTTCACTTTCCACCCAATTAAGTCACAGCTCTTGTAAACTGACAGTAAGCAGGAGTTGCGTGCACCGACCACTCAGATTCTTCCAGAAGCCAGGAAGGGATGGCACACAGGAGTGCATAAGGGAGAGTGCACTGTGGAAAAGGACACACTGCATTTCAGGGAGCAGAAGGCAAGGTCTCTCCCCACTGTCCACGCCTTTAACAAACATGGGAAGCAGACTAGAGACAGACAGACAAACAGACAGACACACACACAACCCCTCATGCAGACTAGAGACACACAACATACAACTCCAGAAGCTCAACTGGATCCTGGATTGAAAATGTTAATAAAAGCTGCTCTGAAACCAGGTGCAGTGGCTCACGCCTGTCATCCCAACAGTTTGGGAGGTGGAGGTGAGAGGATTGCCCGGGCCTAGGTGTCTGAGACCAGCCTGGGTAACATGGAGTCCTCGCCTCCACAATAAATCAAAAGATTAGCCGGGCGAGGTGGCATACGCTTGTAGTCCCAGCTGCTTAGGAGGCTAAGGTGGAAGGATTGCCTGAGTCCAACAGATGGATGCTGTGGTAGCTGAGATTGTGCCAATGCACTCCAGTCTGGGTGATAGAGTGAGACTGAATAAAAAACAAACCAGCTGGGCTCAGTGGCTCAGCCTGTAATCCCAGCGCTTTGGGAGGCTGAGGTGAATGGATTGCCTGAGCCCGCGGGTTCGA